CTTCAAAATGTGTAATCTAATATTCTTTCATATTCTTGTTCTAGGAGGTGTGTGTGTGTGTGTGTATGTGTGTACGCACGCGCGCTTGTGTGCACGTGCGTGCTGCCTGACTTTGAACCTTGATCCTCACATCAGCAGCCTGCTCATTGGCTAGGATTACAGGCATGAGCCCTTGGTGCCTGGCTTGTTCTAGTTTTTTTATCTATATTTATGATTATGGCCTTAGAAGAATGATTTCATTCTTTTCTCAAAATGAATCACCTGAGTTCAGTTCTGTTTTTTTCTAAAGTTACAAGTACTGATAAGTACTTGTACAAGTGCATATAATTATGGATAAATATTCTTGGGAAAAAATGTAGTCGAGTGGGATAAATGGGATTACATACTAAGTGAAAAAGTAAAATGTAGACTATGGTACCATTTTTGTTGGAAAATCTTCCTATGCTTCTTTAAAGAGAATCTGAAAAGTTGTCTATAAAGGTAATAGCTGCAAGAACCCATTACTCCCTGCCACAGACCCGGTAATGAACCAGGGGCATGCATGGTTAATACCAGAAAACATTTTCCAGGTTAAAATTTAAGAGGTTAAATCCTGTTCTTTTAGTTGGTGGTGTTCATTTACCAGGCACACGCCCCCTTCTGGAAATATGGTATATTTCACTATTAAAAGACTTCCCAATGTAAGAATTTGATAATGAATGGGAAATTAGAATAGTTTATAATTGCCATTTTTATTTAACATTTAATTCTAAAATTTACAGATCACAATCATGTTTGTTATGCCAGAAGAGGGAATAATTTACTATCATGAAAAATGATAGACTAAATATGTGTCCTCCATAAAGAAAAAATAAACTCTATTTTTTAAAAAACTCAAAAGTTTTGCCCAAAGTAGGGCTTACAGAAATGTAAAAATAAAAAAATATTGAATTGTCTCAAAAATGATGAAAATTTCATACACACAACATAAAATGTTAAAATAATATTTTTATTCTTAAGCAATGTCCAGAAATAGGAACTCATTTTGATCTATAAATCAGTATAGCTATAGCTCAACAAAGTTCTCAAGTAAAGAAAAAGCATATTCCAGAATTATATTTATAGCATGGTAATAAACTTAAATAAAATATATGTTGACATAAAGTCACAGAGAACACAGAAATACATGTAGAAATATAGAAGATCTTCAAGAGTAGCTAGAAGGATCATCTTTGGAGAAAAGGAAAGAGAACCAAAGTTGCTTTATTGTTTTGTTTGTTTGTTTGTTTTTTGTGCCAGTACTTGGGAGAACCTCATGCTCTCGCTTAGCCCCCCTCCTCTTTTACCCCTCAAGGTTATGTTACCCCTTGAGCCACACTGTCATTTCTAGCCTTTTGCTGGTTAATTGGAGATAAGGGTCTCAGGCAGAGGCTTAGAACAATGATTCTCAGGTGTCAGCCTCCTGAGTAGGATTACATGTGTGAGCCTCTGGCATCTAGCCTATGCTTTTTAAGAAAGAGTGAATTTATACTCTGTGTGATTTACCACTAACTAGGAATACAAAAATAAAGAGAATTATTGCTTACAAAAAAACACAAAGAATTCAGAAAGTCCCTCTCTTCAAAACAAGATTATGCTGTATAATAGTCTGCAATAAAATACAAGTGCAAGAAAGAAAAAATGGTCTTAAGTAAAAGCATTTTGTGATATAGCAGCAAATAAAATATTTATTTCTAACAGATAATAGCAGCACAAATTGCAATGGGGTGTGTGTGTGTGTGTGTGTGTGTGTGTGTGTGTGTGTGTGTGTGCATTACCAAACACATATAATAAAGTATACAGGAAAAGTATTACTCCAGTTTGTAAGTGCTTTTAATTAGAATTTCCTTGTGGCTAGGATTAGGATGGCCTGTTTCAGCTAAATCTCTGGCATTAATAATTTAAAAATATTAATGTTTGTGACCTACAGGAAGGAGGTCCCATGGTAGATGTAAAGATTCCTCCTAGAGAAGTTAATTTGAAATAATTTAGCCAAAGACATCACTCAAGGGACCTCTTTAGGGCCTTACTGAATCTAGGTTGGCCCCAATTCATTAGCAATATTATGAGTGCCTATTATTTGTAAGGTTTAGTTTGGTCCAAAGCAGGCAGGCTTGCCTCCGATTATGAAACTAAGGGGTTGATGATACTGTTAGCTACTGTTTAGTAGTTTAGAGCCTGGACCCAGTACTCAGACTTTCTGGGGCTTCAACCCCTATTGAACCACTTTGTGGCTATGGGATCCTGCATACTGGAGGGGGATATATGAAGCCTTCATTATAGAGCTGTCTGTCAAATAGGAAAATGAGGTCATAGGAAGGGTTACAGCGGTCTTGTCACATAGTTAAGTATGGGATGAATGTTAGGTCCCATTAATATATTTTATTATTTTTTGTGCCCTTACTGGGCACTATCCCTTGGCTTTTTTGCTCACCACTTCACTTCTATTTTTTTTTCAGTGGTTAACTAGAGATCAGAGTCTTATGCACTTTCCTGCCTGGGTTGGCTTCAGACAGTGATCCTCAGATCCCATCTTTCTGAATGAGGCATTGGTGTCTAGCCCATTAATACTTTAAAGAAAGTTTTAAGATTGTGCCTTTCAAATCATAAAACAAAAAGCAAGCAAACAAAACTAAACCCTACAGATGCTGAAAAGGCATTTGAAGTTACTTGGTTATCTTCACTTCCTAGAAGGTGACTTTAAATGTTTTTATAGATACTTAAAACCAAGCGATAAATACTATACTTGGACCATGCTAGCTTCTGGAATGGAATAACAGGAAATTAAAATGAATGAGAAGGGCAGGCCAAGGGATTACATGGGAGAAGAGGAAGACCTGTAGAAGCAACATTGGGGAGTATGAAGAATATAGACTAAAGGAAGAATATCCAGTAAAGAGAAGGAAAGGGGGGGGGGAGGCAGAAAAGAGCTTTGACAAGTGTAAGGAGAAATGAGAAAAATGACAGCAACAACAATGAAATGGACTAAGTACAAAGGGACAACATTTCAATGGAAGTAACTGATTCAAAAGGCAGATTGCAAGTCAGGAACTGGTGGCTCACGCTTGTAATCATAGCTACTCAAGAGGTTGAGATCTGAGGATCACAGTTTGAAGACAGACTGGGCAGGAAAGTCCATGAGACTCTCATCTCCAATAAACTACTTAGAAAAGGCTGGAAATAGTTCTTGGTTCAAGTGGTAGAACACTACCGTTAAGTACAGAGAAGCTCAGGGGCAGAGCCTAGGTCCTGAGTTCAAGTCCCAGGACCATAAAAAAAGTCAGATTGCCCAACACTATAATTCCCTTCCCTTATGATGGAGAAACATTCAAACTTGAGGGAATTGTATTTTTCTGAAACACAATTGGGTCCACAAATTAATTATAAAAGTTTGGCATGTCTATCTGCACTTTTTTGTCTCTGATGTAAGCTATTCTCTCTGCAGATACTATGCAATCACCTTAGATTCTGGGAAGAACTGGAAGAGCCTTATGACAAGGAACCAAAACTTCCTCTAGGAACAATAAAGCCTCCTTAGTACAGATCACCTATAAAACAAGGTGATTTGTTTGTCTTCCGTGAGGATGACAGTAATCACTTCTCCAAACAAGGACTAAGATAATCATAAACCAGGCCATGTTCTGAATAGGACTGTTTAATAGTTGCATTCCTCTTCTCCACTCCCCAATCTGTCTATAAAACCTAAAGTTCACATCTGTCCATCAAAGATGTACTCAAGTGTCTTCCCATGGCTACCATGTGCTAATTTTTCTTTCTCAGCCTTTCACCAGGTCTTTTATTTGGCATAGAGTCGATTGGCAGGACATGACATGTGGAACTCACGGAGTTTGGACTCTGTATCTAAAACACTGGTTTCAATTTGATTGCCATCCTTACATCTCTATGAAGCTAGGCTTTGGTGTTAGCCTTCTTCTATAGTACAGATTCCTGAAGCACATTTCCTAAAGTCCTGCAGCAGGAACTCAGCAGAAAAGGGACTCAAATGTACGTCTGTCTGACCTGCCAAATCAATGCTGTTAAAATAATTTCCTTTTTATTTATTTCTGTGCCACTAGCGGGGCTTGAACTCAAGGCTGCTGTGCTCTCTCTTAGCTACTTGAGGCACATCTCCATTTCCGGGTTTTGCTGGCTAGAGATAAGATTCTAAACGAGATTGCCTTCTCCAGCTGACTTTGAACCATGATCCTCAGATCTCATCCCCCAGAGCAGCCAGGATTAGAAGTGTGAGCTGAGGGCGGCTGCTTATTAAAATCATTTCTAAGAACCTCTATAGACCCTTTGTTGGCTTAAAAGGGATTCTTCTGGGGCTGGGAAGGTGGCTCAGTGGTAGAGCACTTGCCTTGCATGCATGAGGCCCTGGGTTCGATTCCTCAGCACCACATAAGCAAAAAGAAAAAAAAGCCGGAAGTGGTGCTGTGGCTCAAGTGGTAGAGTGCTAGCCTTGAGCTGAAGAGCTGAGGGACAGCGCCCAGGCCCAGAGTTCAGGCCTCACGACCAGACCTCCCCCCCACCCCAGAAAAAGGGGACTCTTCTTTCTGTTCTACACAAATTTCGGCTGGATGAAACTCGTGTGTCCCAGCATAATAAACTCTCTCCAGAACATTTTTTTTGGGGGGGTCGGTCGTGGGGCTTGGACCCAAGGCTTGGGCTCTGTCCCTGAGCTCTTTTGCTCAAGGCGAGCTCTCTACCAATTTAAGCACAGATCCTCTTCCGGCTTTTTGGTGTTTAATTGGAGATAAGGGTCTCGCAGACGTCCCTTCCTGGGCTGGCTTTGAACCGCAATACTCAGATCTGAGTAGCCAGGATTACAGGCGCGAGCCTCCGGCGCCCGAACTTTTGAAAGCTCCGCCCGGCCATTTAAAAGCGTCCTGTCTCCATGGAGACGGGCGTGGGGGCAGGACTTCCGTCTTACGCGCGAGCACTTCCGCCTCGAGCCGGAAGCGCCGTGGCTGACAGCGCGGGTGCTCACGCGTGCGGGCTTTCCGGAGAGCGGTGCAGTCCCCGCGTGCGGCGCAGCTGCGATGCTGACCCCCGCGTTCGACCTCAGCCAGGACCCCGATTTCCTGACGGTCGCCATCCGCGTGCCCTACGCCCGCGTCTCGGAGTTCGACGTGTACTTCGAGGGCGTGGACTTTAAGTTCTACGCCAAGCCGTACTTTCTCAGGCGAGTCCCGGGCGGGCATGGCGTCTGTGGGGCGCGCACCCTGCGGCGTGGGGTCCTTGCTTCGGTGACTGTTGGTGGCGGGAGCCGCTCTCCACGGAGACGCCGCCGTCCCCGCGCCTCTCCGGGGCTGACGGGAGCGCGGCCGGGCGGCCGCGGCCGCCGGATCCCTCCCCACACCGCCGCCCGGCCCGACGCGCTGGGTCTCCAGGACGCGCTGGGTCTCCAGGACGCGCTGGGTCCCTCTCCCGCCTCTGCCCCGCCCGGACCCGCGCGCCCACCCCCTGTTGGCTCCTGCCGGGCCCGTCCTGAATCTTTCGGACTCCTGCCCGCGCTCCTGGCTGGCCTCCCATCCTCTGCTTCCTGAAATCCTCACCTTCTTTGGCACCTCCGTGCCAAGCTAGCGAAGCTCTCTCCCCGACCCCCATGCCCGGCTGCTTCACTGTCCGGCCCGGCCCCTCTCCCCCTGGATTTTGGGGTGTGTTGCTCCACGTTCTTCCCGCGAGAGGCACCCAGCTCCTGTCGAATTGGATCTTTTCTCCTCGCAAACTAAAAGTAGCCGTAGCTGACGCTAGTCACCCACCTTCGGTGTGATGTGCAGAGTGCTGTGCCACAGTGGTTGATTGTCGGCTGCGATACTTGAAACGCGCTCCTAGTTAAGTTCCATTCTTCAGGAGGCTGCCGGGTTGTTCTTGCCAATCCCTTGTGCTTCCTATTAGAAACACACAACGAACGGCTCTCCAGTGACAAATGAATTAGACACAAAAAATACAAGAGATTTCGTCAAGGCACTTTTATCTTTGTGCTGAAGCATGCAGCACCCTTACTCTATCCACAGCTAGGCAGGCACACTGGACACGGAAGTCTGCTAGGTTTTTGTAACGCTCCAAACTGTCCCTCTTCAAGGAATTAGACTCACATTCTAAGTAGAGTTGATTACCAAGGTTAGGAAGGGGGCTATTCTTTGACTCTTTATGAGAGTTGTTTTTTTACCCCTCACAGCTGACTGGGAGCAAAGCTGGGAATGGGGTGGCTGACAGATATAGTTGGAGGAGGTAAATGAAGTCAATAGAAATCTACTCAGAGAGTCTTATTCCTTTTAACTCCATTGATAAAGATTTATCTTCCTAACATGGCTTACTGGTCTCAAGCAGCACACCTAGTAGTTTGCAGTTTATTTTTAACTCCTTTGATGAAGATTCATATTCCTAGCTAGTTGGCTGGTCCCAGATCGTACAAATAATCGTTACAATTGAAGTCAAAATGCAAATAATTTCAGGAAGTATCAATATACAAGATGGAGGCATTTTGGTTTGACAGAAAAGACTGCTTTTTCTCACATTCCCCTTTCCCACTAAACAGCCTTCTAATCAAGTTGGCTCAGTGGGGCTGAACCATCAGATCCTAGCTTACTAACTTAACAGTGTCCACTTTGTCTATGGGAATGGGTTCTAAGGGCCCTCAATGGAGACCTGAGACAAGGGATGGTACTGAGCCCTATGAATACCTTCCTACACCTACATACTTAAGATCAAACTTAATTTATAATCTAGGTTCCATAAGAATATTAACAAGAATAATAATGAACCTAACAAGTTAACAATACATTCTAATAAAGGTTATGTGAATATAGCCTCTTTCTCCCTGAAAACACCATGTCATATTGTACTGTGTCTGGATCTTGGACAGGAAACTGAAACCACAGAAACTGGGGAGATACACATTAGCACTATGTAGGTGGAGGGCTCACTAAACCTACTAACCCAACCAAACTTAAAAAGTGTAAAATGTCAGCAGTCATTTGTATGGACTCCTGGCTTCTGTGGATAAGCAATTTGGTTAAGAGCTTGGCTAGTCTGTTCTGTCTTGAAGGCTTTAGTGTCACTGTGGTCACTTGATAGCTGGACCTAGAATGTGAATAGTAAAGAGCTGAAACAGCTGGAGGTAGAGGGGTGTTTTCCTTTGTCTGAAGAACCCTAGGGCTTCTTTGTGTAGCTTCTTTATCTGTCTTTTTTGTGTTTTGTAGGAGAGTTGGCCTGATAACACAGTGGCTACCATTTTATTTATTTATTTATTGGCAGTTATGGGGGCAGAACTCTGGGCCTGGGCACTGTCTCTCAGCTCTTCAGCTCAAGGCTAGCGCCCTACCACTTGAGCCACAACACCACTTCCAGCTTTCTTCTGCTATGTGGTGCTGAGGAGTCAAACCCAGGGCCTCATGCATGTATGGCAAACACTAAGCCAACTTCCCAGCCCAAGTTGCTATCATTTTAAAGAACAAGAAATTCCAGCTAATGGTAGAATTCCTATCACCTTTTAGGATCTAACTTCAGAAAGCACAGTACTACTTTTTGTTTTTTTAATTGTGTTGCTGAAAAGCTGCAGAAGCCAGCTGAATATTAAGGGATGGAAACCCTAGACCCAATCAGATTTCTGTGTTGGAACAATTCTTTCTGAGTTCTGTGGAAGGCTGCTTGAAAAAGAGTTCACCTGGAAGCAAAACAGAAAAACAGTTCTCCTTTAAGAAAAAAGAACTTCATGTAGTAGTCATGAATTTTGATGAAAACTTTTGCTTTCTGCCTTTTTTTTTTTTTAATGCCTGTCTTGGGGCTTGAATTCTGGGTCTGGGCACCGTCCCTGAACATTTGTGCTCAAGGTTAGTGCTCTACCACTTGAGTCACAGCTCCACTTCCAGCTTTATTCATAGTTAATTGGAGATAAAGTTCTCACAGCTCTTCCTGTGCAGCCTGGGATTCTCAGACCTCAGCCTCCTGAGTAGGTACGATAACAAGTATGAGCAACCTATACCTGGCTTCTGTCTTTTTTATAGTAGGAATTTTGGGGCTGGAGGTATGGCTCAAGCAGTATAGTGCCTGCCTAGCAAGCATGAAGTCCTAAGTTTAAACACTAGTACTACCAAAAAGTTAAAGGTAATTTGCCTTATATCAACAGTTGTTTTTGTTGTTTATTGTTTCCTTTTTTCTCCTAAAATCCAGTCAGTATACTTCTATTGAGCACCTTCTATGTCAGGCACCAGTTATATAAATAATTCTCTTCTTGTTTATTAAGAAGAGGGAAGTAATCCTAGATACTTGGGAGGTTTAGAATGCCTTCCAGGCAGAAAAGTTTGCTATTTTTTTTTCTCAAACCATTTGTGGGTGCAGTGGTATGAACCTATCATCTTAAGCTATATGAGACACAGATTGGGAGGATTGCAGTTCTATGCCAGCCCAGACAGAAAAGTCTAAGAGACTCCATCTCAGCAGAAGGAAGCCAGATGTGGTGGTGTATACCTATCACTCCAGCAATGATGGGTAGCATAAAATAAGCAAGACTCTTGTCTACAAAATAACCAGTGAAAACAAGATTGGAGGCGTGGCTTAGTAGTAGAGGGCCAGCCTTGTAAGCATGATGGATCAAACTCAGTATTGCCAAAAAGGGGTGAGGAATTACTGTAACTATAGTGATACTTATTTGTTATGGCTTTTGTTTTATTTGATTGATGACTGGCCTGTTCTAATGGAAAGTTTTTTATTTACATGGAGAAGGAATCTAGGTTATTTAGTTTGTAAAATGTGAAAGAAATGCTGAAGAACTTCCTTTTAAAATGTTTGTACATTTTGATGGATAAACATGTTGTATTTTCATTGCTTTATAAACTTAAGGACTTAAAACTTGTGTTAAATCTGCAGATTAAATCTTCCTGGAAGAGTTGTAGAAAATGGAAGTGAGCAGGGATCCTATGATGCAGATAAAGGTACTGTCTTTGCATTTTTGTCTTTGAAGACATTACGAGGACTTGAGGTGTCTGGCAATTGCCATCTGTCCTAGTCACTCTTAGTGTTCTGTGCCTGATATTCTTGGATATTTGGACAATTATAATTTCCTCAGTTCTTTAAAATATTTCACAGTAATCTTCAAAGTAAAGTTGAATTAGTTGTTGGCTTATGCTTCTACATTTAGTAGGTGTTTAAAAGTAAAAATTGGAATGTGCAAGATAATTGATTATAAAATGTGTAGATAATTTATAAGCTTTTGAATAGACCCTTTCTTGTATAATTTTTAAACTTAAATTTCAGTGACAAATAGTTGAGAGAATAGCTATCCTTGGGTGGCTTTTAAAGGCTAATTGTATTTTTTTCTCCTTCATGATTTTATAAATACCACATTTTAACTAGCCACAAAACCATTTATTTTCTTTTTCTAGAATGCTTTCCTTTGTCACTGGATCTGGATCAAGGGGCTCTTGTGTACTTCCGTATCATTTATTGAATGGCTGTTTATGGCCTCAGTACATGAGGATAATGGAAGGAAGTAGGATGAGAAGTTGTCGAAGAGTTTTCACTCACAATATATTGTAATTAATGTGGTGGTGAAGTCTCAGGGAAACTGCCTTTTCCACAGTTACTTTGTGTATTGAAACAATTACTACATTTTAAAGGTTTAGGTAGGTTATGCATGTAGGAGTATGTGGGTTGAATTGTGTTTGTTTTATTGGGATGCAATTCACTGCTCTCAGTGTTAAAGATAGAGTTTAAACATAGATGCTAGGCTTAGTGGCACAAAATATGATTCCAGCATTTGGGAGGCTGAGAGGGAGGAGGATTTTGAGTTTGAGACCAGCTTTGGCTGCATAGCAAGCCATGTCTCAAAAAAACCCAAACACTAAACAAAAGACTAGTAAGCATTGTAATAAGTTTATAAGGGAGGCTAGTCAAGGAGAGAAAAGTAGTAGGTAGATTAAAGGTCTGCCATAGATAGATTGTGTACCTCTGTCTCTTGAGATAGGGAAGAAACTCTATTAAGCTTTAATTACTTTTATGTTGTTGTTTTGGTTCTGTGTGTGTTTGTGTGTGTGTGTGTGTGTGTGTGTGTGTGTGTGTGTGTGTATGTGTGTGTGTGTGTGTGTGTGTGTGTGAATGCACTTGTGCATGTGCATGGGCCTTGAACTCAGGGTTTGGGTGTTGTCTCTTAGGTTTTTTTTTGTTTGAGGCTGGTGCTCTGCTACTTGAACTATAGCTTCCAGTAACTTTGGTTAATTTTTAAACAATTGTTTCCTCAGGCTATCGATTGTTCCTTATAGAAGTGGCTGTTTCTAGAAAGCCCTGTTTGAGTCTTTTTACTAAATTGATAATAAGGATGTAATTTTGGAGTTCTGTGAAATAAAAGTATTTTTTACTAAGACTTATATTTCTTAGGTATATTTGTGAAATTTTGACTGTTTTGATGTGATTAAGCATAAATTTGCCTTTAAGGAATTTTTACCATTCGATTGCCCAAAGAAACTCCTGGCCAACATTTTGAGGGGCTGAACATGTTAACTGCTCTTCTTGCACCAAGAAAATCCAGGACAGCCAAACCACTTGTGGAAGAAATAGGTATGTTGACTGTGATTTGGAAGATGTAATGATAAAATGTAAAATAAAGTGAAAGTACTTGAAATGCCCTACATACTTAGAGGAAAATAGGAAATGGGAGAAAATGTTTTAGATGACAAGGTAAGTAGTCATGTGAAAATCACTTATTTGATATGTAATAAGAAACATAAGTGACTTTAGTGAACTAGTCACATTTTTGGACCAAGTAAAAGATCATCTTGCCATAGTAAACAGCTGAATGAGTTACTAAATATGAACACTAGCTAGGTCAAGAACTGGAATACTTATTTCCACCACCCTGAGATCTATCTGATATCTCGTTCCTAGTTACCTTGTCCTGTCTTTAATAGTATGGATTAATTTTCTTTGGCTTCTTGTTTATCCATGTTTTAGCATTTATCACTATGTGATATTCTGTTTTCTGAAGATACCACATTTGTTTCTGTTTCCTCCTTCTGAACATTTGGGTTTGTTCTGTTGCTTTGACCATCAAGAATAGTGAAGCTGTACTTGTCTTGTAGTACACACATTCAGACACTTTTTCCTATACTTTTTTCCTCCCTGTTACCCAATTTTTTGAAAATTTTGTTTAACACAATGAGGTGCTTCTGCGGTTTCTGAGGATGTGGTTGAAGATGATGATGAGGAGTTTGATTGGGACATTGAGCAGACCCCCTATGAGGAGGTGCCAGACAGTGCTTTGAACCGGCAGTGCTACTATGGATTTGGAAACCTGCGATCGGGAGTGGTTCAGCGGTTGCAGGTATGGTGTCCTGGAAGAGCTCAAGACGTGAGGTTTTCTTATTTGCGTATTTGAGTTTCAGTTCTGCCTGTTCTTGGATGAGTTCATGGATCATTAGGACATTGAGACCATAGATACACTGGCTGATGCCATCAGTGAGTCTGAGGTGAGTGTGGTGCTTATCAGCATGGCTTCCGGCTCATTCAGCAGGTTGCACTGAAAATTTGGGTCTGTGAGAAGCAGACAATCAGCAAGTGGCCTGGAAACAACATGGTTTACAAAGAGCATCTCAAGTCCACGCTGGAAGATGGGGAGTCCCAGCTCACCAAAAGCAACTACAACAGGTGAACCCTTAGCCAGGCTAGGGTCAAGAGACATGTTGAGACTGCCAGCTGCTACCTGACCCGCTGCTCAGGAAAGAACCTTGAGTTTCTACTTCCACCTTGCTTTAGTACTGCCCCAGCCTCTCCCTGTGAGTAGGCCAGCCTTATCTACAGCTGCGCAGCACCTGGTTGTCTCCATCCTCTTTGCAGTTCCATCAGTCCCTCTGGGTTCAGCTGGATGATCCCTCCAGTTCTTTGCTGGATACCTTGTACTGAGCGAGATACAGCAGAGGTTTCCTGGATTAGCCCAGGCCTATGCTCTGGGTTTGGCCTGTAAAAGAGTCTAAGAACCTCATTTTCTGGGTTTTGTTCATATTGGAGGAATACCTCCCATTCCTTAATGCTTCTGCTTGGGAGCTCTGGACCAGAACCTTGATTCTGATCAGGTTTTTAAAAAGTCATTGTAACAGAATAGCTCCTTAGACCTGTATGACATCTACAAAGCATCCAATAAAGATAAAGGAAGCCATTAAAAATAAATACAAAGGTAAAGGTAAAAAAAAACTGCAACCCAAGTATCTTGTCTTTCTTGAATAATTTAAAACCTTACAAAGGATATAGTCTTTCCTTTTAACCTTTTAAACGCCATTGCTTATAAACTTGTGTATTCTATACTGATAATGGGAAGAAGTATAAATATTTTTGCTGAAACAAATTATCTTTTACCATTCTCCCCTGCCCCCTCCCCCCAACAAGCACAAACACAAACACATGCACACACTCCTTTCTTTTCTAACATTACTGGCAGCCACCAGCGTGTCTTTGGAAAACTGCCCTAACTCCTCAAAGTCAAAGCTGCACAACAGGCTTCTGGCAATGGTGGCTGCCAGCAACCACAATCCTCGAGTCTCTGGGCGCTAGCCCAGCAAGCTCCTGGGACCACTGCTGCCAGCAGCTGCAGAATGCCAGCCTTGCTGTTCCTTCCCTTCCCTTGACTTGCCCGGGGAACTGAGGTCTTTGTTTCCAGGAGAGCCGCTGGGTGGTTGTACACACAGTTCATTTTCTCTCTGGTTGACACTGCCTTGCCTGTGGTTTCAATGGAAGTTAACCTGATTGAAATCCTCTGTGGACTTTGCTTGGTAGTGTCTTTTAAATAGCTTATGTGACTAGTGACCATAGCAGTTCTTTGAGCAAAAAAGAAAAGGAGGAATACATGCTATGGTTTAAAACTGTTTTCTTCCTTCCTACTTGGTTGGTTGATGGCTCAGACTTTTTTTTCCAACTTTCCTTCCCTTAGGTTGTACCTTAGACCTTTTAAATTTCAAGCTAACTTTGCTTTTTAGGTTTTTGGGGTTTTTTTTGCTTCTCTTTTGGGTCCAGTTTGAGCAGGACTATAGTGCACAGCTGTGCAAAGAGCAAGACCTGTCTTGAACGGTTGGGCTCATCTATATATATATTGCATATCTGTATATGGAAGCCCTGAGTCAAGGCAAAGATCAGTCCTCATCTGCATGAGAGCAAGGACCTTATCTATTTGTTAGTTACTTGATTTCCATTCCACCTCTCAGACAGTGCCTAGGGCAGGCCTCACATAACTCTGTGCTGATTAATGGATAACATTGACTACTACACCCAGTGCTATTGCACAGTGATAAAGATGATAGCGAGACCCCTATCTTAATGGAATGAGATACACAGTTAACATGTAAACAAGGATAGATATAAAATGATGGCCGAGTGACAGATGAATGGGAAGGATGATTGGAGATATTCCAGGCAGGGATACTAGTTTGATTAGGATGCCTAGAGAAGACCTACTGAGGATGGGATGTTTCTCTGAGTTCGGGATGAGAAGGACAATGTAAATGCAGACACTCAAGATGAAGAATGAATGGATATGTTCCAAAAACGGAAAGAAGTTTAGTGTGGCTTGAGTGTACTTGAGCCAATTGGAAAGGGAAACCTGAGTTTCAAAGTCAGGACAGGCTAGGTGATGAGGAACTCTGCCGAATCTGAATTTGAGAATTTGTCTGGTTACTAGCATCTGTTTTTCCTCAACTGTGGGGTTATCTATGAAGCCTCACTTACTATAGCCAGAAGTTCAGATTTTTACTGTAATTCCATTTTTAATTGCCATTAGTGAAGCAGAGGAGGATCTTGACTCTCAGTAGAAAGGTAGTCAGTGAGTAAAGGAGATAGAAAGGAACCTACTATTGAGTATTATTAAGTATAATAAGCCTATGTTTGATTACTTATTAAATCCTTTTTCATTAAATCCAACAATTGTCCATGTTGCTGAATGATTGTCATCTCTCTCCTCCACCCAAAGGAGGTGTTCTTGTGCTTATCCCCAGAATCTGAAGATGTTACCTGGTAAAAGGTATTTTGTAATTAAACCAAGGATCTAGAGAGTACCCTGGATTATCTGGGTAGGCCCCATCTACTTAAAGGTATAAGAGGGAGACAAAGAAGGAAGGTCATCTGTACGAGAAGCAAAGAGAGCAATGGTGTCATGCTGTGGGCTGCAAGTGAAGGACAGGGACAACCTCTAAGCTGGAAAGGCAAAGAAACAATTCTCCTATAAACCTCCACAAGGGCATGTAGCCCGGCTGACACCTTGTCTTTAACCCATCGAGCCTGATCTTGAACTTCTAACCCCTAGAACTGTGAGATAATAAATATGTGTTGTAGTAGACAACCAAGTCTCTGGTAATTGGTGGTAGCAACAGAAGCAGGAGGAACCGAATCTCCCACACTGTAATAGAAATGTCACTTATGTCATGTGAGCAAGCAGAGATTCAGTGATGCTGTCTGATACAACTGCAGCTGGGACTTACATTTAGGCTCATCTAATTCAAGACACTCTTTCTCCTTCACCATAAAACATCCAGAAGTGTGGCAGGGAGAGAGGAGAGGACTCCTAGGGGCTAGGAGGAAAGAGATGACTATAGGTTACTGGGGAGTGACTCTACTATCCAAGGACAGGACATGGTTCCCATAGTGTTCTTCTCTGTGAGTCTAGTACCCCAAGGCCTGTTTCAGCTCCCTGGCCCAGGCTGTGACTCACTATGAGGTTTAGGCAGGTGTGGATGTGAAGTGAAAGAGGAAGAATCCACATGGACTTGCTCAGAGAAGAGATGTTTCTAATGGATTCACCTGGAGAAAATGTATTTCCCACGGGTGTACTGCTGTGTATGTCATGTTCCTTATGAATTGCAAGTTCCTTATGAATTGAGAAAACTTGAAGACTTCTCTGAGGATCTTAACTACTATTTATAATGGTCTTTCTGTAGGAAAATAAGTTTCCAGATCTCCCCAAAAGTAGATTGCAAAGGTGTTTTTAGAATGCAGATTTTTAAAAGTTTTTAGGGAGCCAGCAATCTGGTTTGCTCAGAATGTTGATACTTGGAAGCATTAAGCTATACTGCTTTCATAGCTTCCAAAAAGGTCTCTGGACCCCATCATTGTATTCAAGTGTACTTAGATTGACTATTGCTATCTGACCTAAAAGGATTGTGATAGACAAGAAATTTCATATTGTATAAAAAATGTGTATGAGGAAACTGTTTCCTAGGCATTTTTACTAAATCAGGGTAGCTCACTAATTTTAGTGTGTGTGCCTTACAGCCATCCATTTTTAAACCTGCTGTTAGGTGCTAACCTGTCATTCCATTGACACATCTTTTTTAAGTTTGCCTTGTTATTTCCTTTGGTTTATTTAGCTTACGTCTTTTCAGTTTCTGTACTTCCTCATTTGGGGTTGGTAGTTGGAGTGGGAGCTTGAAGGAAACTAAGGAAAAGCAAGAGCACAGTTTTAGAAATACTTTACATTGTGTGAGGTGTCTTTGCTTCACAGGTGGACCATGTAGTATCCTGTGCAGCTTCCTCCTCCACACCTATTATAGGGGGATGCATGCCACATGTTAACATGTATCATCCTAATAAAGAAGTCACAGTAAAGTGAATTCCCACTTAGGATTAGATTTCTAAATTTTCAGATGGAAAATTGTCTGCATGAGCATTGTCCATAGATAATTTTCAATCAGTTCATAAAGTTGGTTTTATGTTTTATGGTAATTCTTTGCAGAGACAAGCTGAGGGAGATTGAAGGAGAAGGAAAAGTCTCTGTTGATGTCTGATACTTTGACATAGCTCTGAAATCTCCAGGAGTAAGTGGGAAATAGATGAGGAATTAAATGTTCCTGCTTGCTTGCTTGAGTTTATTCCATTCTGGCTTCTATGTTAAACTTTTATAGCCCTAATAGATATGAGTAAGTTCACTTATTGTAAGGATTAAATGGGATAATCCACATGGAAGTCTCCAGCAGGACCTCGGGAGTAGTAAGTGCTTAACAAAGTTCATTAGATACGATTTGTAATGTCACAGGTGCTATCCTAGTTTGCTGTATTCAATTCTTTGTGTGCTTGGGCATTTTTTTTTTTTACTCCTCCCCCTCCCAAAAAAACAGAAAAAAAACTTTGTTTTTTTTTTTAGGTGGTAAAAATTGGTGATAGCAATTATTTTCTCCTTTTCTGGGTGTTTTTAGGATGAATTGAGCGAGGTTATTGATGTTAAAGATCCAGATTTCACGCCTGCTGCTGAGCGAAGGCAGAAACGCCTGGCTGCTGAGCTGGCAAAATTTGATCCAGATCATTATCTGTGAGTATTGAGTTTTAGAGAGTTAAAAATTTTACTTAAAAAAAATGTTTTTTGAGTGTCTTTAGCTGTAGTGGGCATGTAGGTTATGGGGGTCATGAAATTAGTGATGGCTGAAACCCTCACCAACGTCTTCTTAACCTGCAGCTGTTCTGTGTTCCTTGGTGATATTTGGAATCTAATATTGAATAGTAGTTCGTCCCAGCAACTGAGAACTCTTCTAATATGTTCTTAAGGTTTTTCTCACCAGGCTTAAAAATGAAACACTGAATACCCAGACTTCTAAGTAGACTTTTTATTGTGATGGATGGTATGTGAAGCTATATCTGGTTTTCCTTAAGAATTGGCCTGAGCTGCATTATTTGCTCATCCATTTCTTCCTAACACTTTCATCTACCTATATCGAGGTCTGTTTCAAATGGACAAAGAATTGTCCTTTGTAGTTGCATTACAAATAGAACCTAATTTTGAGGTTTGCTGTATTTCCCACTAACAGTAGTTATGTCTTTAGCCGTGATGAGTCTCTGAAAAGCTTATATTTGCACGAGGAAGGAATATAATTAGAAATTATGCAGTCTCTCATGGGCTGTGGTAGTTTCAAATTGTCACCAGCCCCCTGTGAATACTTGCCTCTTCTCTTCTGGAATGGTTAGAGAATGGACATTATGTGTTGAGGTAGAACTCACTTAGTGTTCTTCCCATGCTATAGGCTCACAAGTTCTCAGCAGTTCCATAGGCAGCTGTAATCATCATTTTCTCTTATGTTTGTGCAATGCTTACCGCTTATCTAGTGCCCTTGTGGGATTATTTAATTCTGTTTGTACAACAGATGAGGAAAAGAGGTTAAATGACTTGCCTAGGGTCACACTACTACTAAATGACTTGGCCAGGACTTGAAAAGAAACTCTCCATTTGTCACTCCGTGTTTCCTTTTTATGTACACTATTTCAGTTTAACTGCTGTTGCTCTTGTGATTAACATTCTATCTCCTGTGACACAGTGGGATACTAATTGGAATGGCAGAAATCTATCTTGTGATGTGCAAATGGAATGAGTGATGTGTGATGATGAATGGTTGAACCATTTTATGTCCTAAGGGAAGCTGGGCTAAGAGCAGAGTCCGTTAGATTTTGGAGGACATCTGAGAGATTCAACTCCATTTACATTGCCATTTCTAATTACCTTTATCTCTCCAATTGTGGCTTTAAAGGTCCACTGAAGAGTAATTTGAAGAAACCCATTTAAAATCATGCTGAATATTTAAAGTGGAAATTTCATTGTCAGCAAATTTCTGGGTCTAGCATGAATACAGAATGAGCTTTGCAAGACTGAAATTTCAAATGGGAGGGAGCTTAATTAGAAGAACTGCTTATCCTCTTCTAAAACTAGAAGAATAAGCCTTTGGCCTGAGAGAATTAGGAAATTGAAATTTATAGTTGATACTGTGATATTCTAAGCAGCACATATTTCCCCCCCCCCCCCCCCCGTCTTCTGTTTTTCTTTACCCAGAAGCTCATTTTCTTTAATTGTATGCATGAAGTGTTCTATCCCAAGTAGTACTGCTTCCGCAGTGGCTGGAATTTAGGAAAGCCTAAGCAGAACACAGTAAGTGGAGTACATTGTATATTGTATATGTGGAGATTTATACATTCCAAAAATAGACATAATTGATTATGGATTTATGTTATTTTTAAGGTGTTTTTTTGTCTTTTTGTTATTGTTGGAAAATCTGATGTCAGTGTGGTTTGGTTTGTATTATTATTATTGGTACTGAGGTTTGAAATAAGGGCCTCATGTTGACTGCTGAGCCATATCTCCATCCCTTTTTGCTTTAGTTGTTTTTAGATTCTGTCCGTCTGTCTGTCTGTCTGTCTGTCTGTCTGTCTGTCTGTCTCTGGCCTAGGCTAACATGGGCTAACATGGGGTTTGATCCTAGTGTTGACGTTTCTTTCTATAGTTAGGATAACAGGAATGTATCGCTATGCCCAGCCTTTGATATAGAGTCTTGTGAACTTTCTCTGGCAGTCGAGATCTTCCTCAACTTTCTGTGGAGCTGGGATGACAAGTATTTGCTGGCAGTACCAGCTCCTGGTTGAAATGAAGCCATGTGAACTTCTTGCCCAGACTGGTCTTGAATTGCAGTCTTTCTGATCCCCCCTCCCCCTTCCCAAATAGCTAGTGTTATAGGCATAATTTACTAAGGCCTGGCTTGGAGTACCATTTTAAATAATAATTTTTCATTATTTTAAATTTGTTAAAGATAGATTGATGTGGCTTTTGGCTGTACAGAGTGGATCTAGTAATCATGCTGGTGCGACAAGGAGGCTGCGAGTTGGGTTCCATGCATCCAAGATAGTTTCCTATTCAGAATACCAAATGTAGGAAATAGCCTTAGAATAAAAACTTCACTCAGTCTCATTTGTGTGTTTATTGACTCAACAAGCATTTGTTTGCATGGACTGCATGCCAGGCAAAGGAAACCACAGTGAGCATGGCAGGTCTTTGCACTCTGTTGGGGGAGAGGGAACTTGTGTTGTGACAAGGACTATGAAGATAAAGCAGCTCGAAGGCATGGACAGTGACCAGGCATTCATTCCTTTGACTCCTCTGTTTCAGTGTGTCCAAAATTGAGCTCATCATTTACCTCTGGAGTCTTCATGAATTTTCTCACTTGGTTGAGTACCCTATTTTTCACTCTAGTCACTGAGGTTAGAAAGCTGAGATTCATCTCTGACTCCTTTCTTATCCCACACATTCGGTCAGTCAGGAAGCTGTGTCATTTGTCTCTGCATTATTACCTTCACTTCATCTCTTTCTGTCCTTCCTCTATGTCCAGCTTTGTAACCAGTACTCTGACATCTCTCCAATCCACACTTCCAAGTTCCTCAACCACAAAACCACCCACCCACTGATGTACCCACATGAAGATCTGCCTCCAGTATACTGGGTGTTGTGAATAATGCACAGGCCTCTCACTTCTTGTTATCTCTGAAATTCTCTATGACCTGGACCTGCCACCTCTGTCACTACTTTTTGCCACTCTCTGCCAGCATTTTGTACTACTGCAACAAAAAAGGCTGTATATCACCCCTCTCCAAGCCACATGGTTTCACGTGCATTCCGTCCTTTCACTCCTGCTTTTTTCCTGCTGGTTCTCCCCTCTCCCATTTGCCCAAGGCTGGATCTAGCCATCACCCACCTATAGCACTGGACTTAGACTGGCAAAGGAGGCCTCCTCAGTGCTCCTCTGTGGTAGCTCGTCTTGTCTTCACCACATGGTGTTAGAACCCTGCTCTCTACTTTGTGTCCATGGTTCCTAGTGAATTGTGGAGTCCTTGGTGGCAGGAGCAGTCTAAATGATCATGACTGTTACTGATCTGTTACTGTTACTCCTAGATTCTGCCATCAAGGGCGTTCAATGACTGCTTGTTGAATTAGAGGCATTAAAAATTTTGAAAATAGGGGGCTGGGAAGGTGGCTCAGTGGTAGAGCGCTTGCCTTGCATGCCTGAGGCCCTGAGTTCGACTCCTCAGCACCACATAAGCAAAAAAAAAAAAAAAGTCGGAAGTGGTGCTGTGGCTCAAGTGGTAGGTAGAGTGCTAGCTAGCTTTGAGCTGAAGAACTGAGAGACAGTGCCCAGGCCCAGAGTTCAGGCCCCACGACAGGACCCCCCCAAAATTTTTTTTTGAAAATAATACATTCTAAGGACAGAATCACCCTTAAATCATGTTCAAGAAACTCTTACTTCGCTGACAGTACAAAGAGAAAACCCCTCAGCCTGCGGGGGGGCACAGCCTCTCTGTGTCTAGGCATCTGCAGGAGTACAAAGTGCGTGCCCTTGTCTTCTCCAAGATAAAGGGCAGTACCTGCACTGGCCCACCGGGACTGATGAACTGCCTTGGGGAGCCGCGAAGCCTCCAGTGAACAAGTATCCTATCTTCTTTTGTGGTACTCATAAAACTGCATTTCTAGGTCCCAAAGACCTTTTTCCACCAAAGGAATAATACAAAAATAAGTTTGGAAAGTCAAACAAATGGAAAGGATTTAATGAAGGATTGTGGGAAATAGAAACTAGCCCAGGATACCAGGCAATTCAATAACAGAGCTCTTCAGAAACTGAGGGAAAAGTCAGAAATACTGCAGATACAGTCAGTGAGGTTGGCACTAGAGTAGAAGAAGATGGAGAATGCAAAAGAAAAACTGTAGAAAGAAGCTCAAAATGGAAAAAGGCCTGTGCTTCAAAGAAATCCTCCAAACAGTGCCAGAAATTTCCAGGAGATGAAGATTATAAAGACTGCAAGAAAAAGAAAACAAAAGCAACTCTGAGGATGGGGAACACCAGCAATGACACAAGAAACACAACTTCAGACTTGCAGGAAGCCAGCAAAGGGACCTAACTACCATAATGAATTCTGCATATAAGAGAAACCACAAGAAGGTTCAGTGTTTGGTTGTCTAATAGTCTTAGATTTGTCAGGAACCAACACATAGTTGTCATTGGCAGCCCATTTGTATGTACATCATCCATATTCTTCTGTTACGTTGGAAAAAACATTTTAACCTTAATTTTTGTTTTTTTTTTTTAAATTTAATTTCTTGTTACTTGGTGGCATGAAATTGCCCTAAACCACTGAGAATTACTGAGGTTTTTACACAGATTTCTGTATGTCTAGGATCCTTTTATCAAGGCAGTAACGTGCATTAAGTCCTGGCATGGGTCCATTGTCACCAAACACACAGCTAACTATGATTGTTTTTTACATGACCACTCAGACAGGATTTCCTCTTTGAGCTAATTCCTACATACATAATACTGGTAAATTGGAGATGAAATTAAGTTGTCCTTCAGTTCTGAGACTACATGTAAATTTCAGCTATACTGTACAATGTGTTTTATGTTAGAAATAGCTAGTCAACTGCTTATACTTCTCAAAAATCATTTCTATATGTGAAAGCAGTGAGTCTTCTGTGTTACTCCAAAATTATTTTTCCCCAATATCAGTACAAGCTGATCTAATCAGTCAAGATGGATACTTTACCTGTTGAATTCAGCAGCAGCTCCATGGAAGTGACAAGGCATTGATTTTGCCGAGTCTTTGAAAATGAATTGTTTCCTTTTGGAACTAGAACTAGAATAGTTAGTAGCCAAAAACCATTACTATATATACATGATTGGTGCTTGTGATAATAGAGAAGTTAGTTTATTTTTATATCAGCTTATATTGTGAGAACACATCTAGTCAGTTTGGGTTTTATGAATCCTTTTATGCTAGTCCTTGGAACATGTTTTGGTTATTTGAGGTTTGTAGTTGAAAAGTTAATGTAAAAAAAATTAAAAACAAAAAAAATGCATTGATTTACAGACAAATATATTGGAATGTGTATTGGGAATAAGCTTTGAGTTGTAAACAAGTCAGTGTAATTTGGCTTTTGTGTGATATGAGGTATTAATGTAACTCATTTATTAAAGCAAAAATTGCTAATAGAAAAAAAAGTAAATGCCTGTAGTTTAATGGCCCATGGCAGGACTTAATGCACGTTACTGCCTTGATAAAAGGATCCTAGACATACAGAAATCTGTGCAAAAACCTCAGTAATTCTCAGTGGTTTAGGGCAATTTCATGCCACCAAGTAACAAGAAATTAAATTTTTTAAAAAAACTTGAAAATTAAGGTTAAAATGTCTTTTCCAACATAACAGAAGAATATGGATGATGTACATACAAATGGGCTGAGTTAGTGAAATTTTATTTAGAATGATTTGTAGCTTCTTTGAGGGAAGGTGGGAGGCAGAGGTATTAGGAATGCTATTCTATGAAGCCAGTTTGGTTTTTCCCATCACAGTCTCCCTGGAGGAAAGCCAGCATCTTTCCAGATGGCCTCTCCTGCTGTCTCCTGTGTGTCCTCTGTGCTCCCACATCCAAAGCCTTTTCCTCTTACCGTGCATGCCACTGTCCTGTGTGATTCTCTCTTCTTCCTTGGCCTAATGTGCGTGACTTTTCGTGTCTCTCTATTGAGATCATACTGCTATCATACTTCCTATTGCACAGAGCTCTGTAGGTCCAGAAAGGGTTCATCAAAGTCAGCCCCATCCAAGTAGAAATTGTCATCTCTCCTCACATCTGTTATCCCAGTCTTATATGTGCTATGCATGGGATAAAAATAATATTGGGATTCCCATTTCAAGATACTAATTCTTTAGTTTTGTTCACTATGTACTTTATTTCTTCACCATATCAAAATCAAACATGTATGCTTGTTTAAGAACACTGTTTCTGAGCTGAGTGTGGTAGCTGAAGCCTGTAATCCTAGCTACTTGAGAGGTAAAAATTGGATAATCAAAGGAAAAGGCCAGTCCACAGGCTGGGCTCAATGCTGTCCTAAGCAACAGGAAAAACACAGTGACTGGATACAATGGCATGCATGTGTCATTCAAGCCATGGGACAAGCATAAAAGGGATTTGTAGTCTAGCCTGGACTGAAGGTGAAGCAAGACCCTATCTAAAAAATAACCACCTTGAAAATAGGGTGGTGGTGTGGCTCAAGTGATAGAGCACCTGCTAAGCAGATGCAAGTCCCTGAGTTCAGTCCCTGGTATTACAGGGGGTATGTTGATTCTGGATTAAGACTTAATGGGCCCACATCCTGGTCAAACATTTTACTGGTTCTTTGAACTTGGCCAAGATGTGTCACTTTTCTGGGTTTTAGTTTCCCAATGTATAGTGTGTCTTCTCCCCGTGGTGATGGTGTGAGGATTCAAGGAAATAACAGTTAAAGCACCTGGTACAGTACCTGCCATATACACAAAGAACTCAGGTTAGCTATGGTTTTTCTGATTTTAAGAAGATTTCTATCTCAGGTGAAAGAAAAGTGTGTTAAGATGGTAAAACTATTAGCTAGAAAACTCAATGTATCCAAGAAAACTATTCTTGGAATTTTTAGTTAACTAAAACGTAAGTGAAATTTTTACCATTTACTACCATACTTTGTCTTGCTTTCTCCACGAATACCTATTTCCAGCTTTGAGCGCAGGATAGCATGATTCTGAAGTATCTTCCAAGACAAAAGGTACATTGAATGTAGCCATCATTTTTTCTAGTTAACACAGAGAGCATAGAGAGCAGAAAATTATTACCTATAAAGGTTATGTTCATCTTTTTCAAGAGTTTAAAGTCTAGGAACCATGAGGATTAGCATTGATAAATAAAATAGATCATAATGGAAGATATGGTGAAAATAGCATGTGTTTTGTGTGTGCATGTGGATGTATGTGCGTGCATGTATTGGTGTATAACCACATTTAGTCTTTGTAGAGACATCGTATCCTGAATTTCCTACTCATCTGTTTTTCTTTGCTGGCTGATATGAAAGCTCTTTTGTCTTGTAAGCTTCCAAAGGCTGTGCTACCTGCAAACCTTGCAGTGTCAGTCCAGTGTATATTCAGATTTGCTCCATTCCACATCACTGAATATGGGATGGGACTTGAGGGTAGTACTGGTTGTCTGTGGGCCTTCTATTCACAAAGATCAGAAATATCAGATGTCCCATAGTCAGATGCTTGCCATTTGTTTTATGCCATTTCCAGTGCAGATGTGATATGCTAAGATTTTTTTTTTATAATGAAAGCCAGCCTAAGCCAGTATAACAAGCTCATTGACTATTTTCCCAGAGCTGACTTCTTTGAAGATGAGCCAATTGAACAAGTTTTGAAGTATAATCCTTGGTGGAATGATATGTACTCAAAAATGAAGGCCTCTTTGGGAAAGAGTCAGAAGCCAGAAGATCATGCTGCATTAGGTAAGAAGCTCAAAATCAGGCTCATTTGTGTAATTTTTAAATCTCATGGTTTACCAAGCTTACAGCCTTCCCTATTATTTAGCATATGATTTTAATTGCTTTGCACCGTGAAAATATGACTTTTGGATTACTGATTTTGGAAATGTAATTTTCATCCTTGACTTGAAAATGCCATTTAATTTATTTGTGTTTGGAAAGTCTTCTGATGTATGTTTTCCTTCAGGATAATTGGGGTCTTTAAAAAACATTTTCTTGACTTGTTTTTCGTAAATTTAGGAATACTTACATGCAGAACATTCAGAGTTTGGAATGGTCTGTCTTGAGAGGTGCAGACTTCCTTTGTGGTTAGACATTTGAGTCTTCATTACGATGGGAAGGCACCCAGTTCTCTTGCCTTCTCTGGTGAATGAATTTGGTCTGATTTCAGTTTTTTTTACAGGCCATTTTATGAGGAAATTGGAATAGATGTCCTCCTGTTGTAGCTTCTAGAGCAGGGACAGGCCAGCTTGAACTAGTGAAAGCTGAACTGGAGATTTTATGAGCCAGGAGAGGTGACTGTGACGTGTTCAACTTTAAGCCTAATGTTACCCATAAAGAGTCTTTTCTTTGGGCTGGGAAGGTGGCTCAGTGGTAGAGCGCTTGCCTTGCATGCCTGAGGCCCTGAGTTCGATTCCTCAGCACCACATAAGCAAAAAGAAAAAAGCCGGAAGTGGCGCTGTGGCTCAAGTGGTAGAGCGCTAGCCTTGAGCTGAAGAGCTGAGGGACAGTGCCCAGGCCCAGAGTTCGGGCCCCACAACCGGACCCAAGGAAAAAAAAAAAAATTCTTAGTGGTGTGCTGTTACTACCTCTTTTAAGTTCAAGGTTTGCATACTAAGGCTATACATTAGAGCTATAACCTATTTGGATAACTCGGGAATCAACCTTTTACGTTGTCTAATATACTGATTTTGCTTTCATTTATACATCCAGAGTGGAATTTCTATGTTTAAATGCATTAAATAGAAAAGTACATTCATTCTGAAGAACAGCAAATGAGATTTTACTCCAAGTTCTCTTCCTAAAGGCACTGTTAATAATTTGGAATATTTTAAATTAACTTTTGCGGAGAGGATCAACCCCAAGACCTTGTGCATGTGTAGTACACATCAAGCATAGAGTTATACCCTCAGCCTGGGTATTTTTGTTTGTTTGTTTTGTTTTTTGGGTCCGGTCGTGGGGCCTGAACTCTGGGCCTGGGCGCTGTCCCTCAGCTCTTCAGTTCAAGGCTAGCGCTCTACCACTTGAGCCACAGCGCCACTTCCGGCTTTTTTCTTTTCACTTATGTGGTGCTGAGGAATCGAACCCAGGGCCTCAGGCATGCAAGGCAAGCGCTCTACCACTGAGCCACCTTCCCAGCCCTCAGCCTGGGTATTTTTTAAATACACATAGCCACATCTAAATATGTATAAAGCTTTCATACACTGTTATTAAATTCCTTTCCTTGGTTGGACTGTATGTGGCACACTCTTCTGAAGGTGCTCCCAACAAATGCTCTCCTGTTTGTCTGTGTCCTGGCTGACTGACATGTACATTGGTTGTTTTTCTGTTCTGTGGATAACGCAGTGGTCTTCTTTGGCTTCAGTGTGAAACATCTATAGACGCTCTGATATCTCTTTTTATTCTCCCCATAGAAGTGCAGTAGCCTGTTATCTGCTCTTACTTCAGTGTCCAGTGTAGTACCTGTTATCTAATGGGCCTGGAACAGCTATTTATGAAAAATAAATATGTTAGTGAATATTTTTGTGGTAAAGTTTTGTTAGAGTTTAGATGATTTCTACCAGATTGAAAAAAAATTGCTCTTGTAGTTTTAGAAAACAGACAGTAGCTCTGTTGTGTAACAAACTAGTACATGACTCTTGATAATGCTTGTTGCTTTCAACACATCCTGGGCTTATATTTGATTTGAGTTCAAGAAGCTGTCAAGAGACTTCTGAAGAGACTTTCCACATGATGTCGATGTATTTTCAGATGAAGTATTGCTAGCACAATTTAGGCAATTAACTATATGCCATGTAGATCTGAGAAAGCTTTCTCAAGTGGCAGTCATCAAAGATACCAACTGGTGTGAATCAGTTTCCCCAGTTATTGCAGAGTTTTAATGAGGTGGTGTGGGAGACTGGTACTTGTGTAGGTGCACTTTCTGTCCACTAGGGTGAGCTAGTTGCCCTAAAAATCAAAAGGTATTACCTTTGATTTCAATTCTGATTTACTCTCCTTTGATAAACTGTAGTGTGTTCTCAGTCCAGTTCTCTGTATCTGCAGTGCTTTGAGTTAGGTTTCTCTGCAGTGTTAACAGGAGATGACCCTTCAGTCCTTCCTCTGATCCATGCATTCTCTCCGGGCTGGTGCTTCAGGTGGTCAGAGGCTGCTCAGCCATTATGGTGATTCATTTTAAAAGTCACCTTTACAAACAGTGAGGACATGTGAACCAAGGGAGAGCAACTGGCATTCTTCTAGTATGACAAGTATAAGGAAGGCTACATATGGAGGATATGAGCTGAATGTGAGCTTGAGATTTAATATCTTGCTCCATCCTCTACAGTGTGATTTTGCAACTTTGGCTTGCTCTAGGAAATCCTCTGCCCAGCTCAGAGTTGTCATGAGGGTTGTGGATGTTATTAAGAAGTAAACCCATTAGTAGGAGAGCCAAAAATGGAATGACTTCTCATGATGTTACCTGTAGATTGTATAAAACTTCTAGAGAAATTAGATTTGTGTCTTCATTGTTGTTCAAATATTTGAGACACTCAGAATTGGAGGAGTTAACTGAAGTGCCATAAGCCATGACAAACTATGGGAGAAAAGAAAGAAGCCAAGAAACAAGCTCTGAAATGTTCTGTTTCCCCCATCTGTGTCTCTCCCCATTTTCCCTCTCTCCTCTCCCCCTGACCTTCTTCCTTGGTTGGGGTGTGGCCAGGTGGCTGTTGTCCATTAGCTGTTGCCTGGCTGCTCTGCCTGTGGGTGAGGGGTGTGCCTTGGATTCACCATTTACCCCTCATGTGTGAGCCTGCACTGTTTGGAATCCTGGACAACTTGGCTGGTACTCTTTGTGCGGGTTGTGATTCTTGTCAGATTTATTGGAGCCATGAGTTACAGCAGGGAGATGGTGATGAACATCTCCAGCTTTGTAATGATCTAGATTTTCCTCCCCAAAGGCTTGTGAAAGGCATTGTTAATGTGTTGCTCCTGGAGCTCTGGCTATGTGGGGATGGACTCAGTACATTCCCCAAGTTCTATTTCAGTGGTTAGTCTCAGCCCATGAGTCTTGGCGCACAGTTGCTTGTTATGACACCACATAACATTTATTGTCGATGAACTTCCTGGTAGGGACATCCTGCAGGGATTGTACAGATAACTGTCAGTGTCATCTGTGAAAGTTGTAGCACAGCAGGGCTGCCCCATTTTAACTGATGGTCTGGTTCTCCTGATCTGTTCTCAGTAAGCGCACAGTGCAACAGACAGATAGGCATTACTCTGAGAGGAGCTGGATTGTGGATAATTGAGTCACTGATCCAGGTAAGATGGGGATGTTTGAGAGGGGGATTTAGAGAGGAAAGGGAGAATGAAAAGCAATGCAATTAGAAAAGAGTTGGGAGAAAAACTGACCCCCTAAGTGACACCTTTTCATTTTAGTGGGAGACCCTTTGTTGGCCATTTACTTCTATGCTTAGGCACCAGTTGACTTCCCCTAAACATATCTAGCTTTTAGCTGGCTCTAGTTTTCACTGTAGATTATTTTTAGAAGTATAATTAACCAAAATGTTGTGAACTGTGTAGCGAAGTTCTGTTCTAGCATAGCTACGTCATATAAGCTCTTGACAAATGTTGCTCGTGGTGGCACTCGCCCAAGTATTGCTGGCACTGCATCTGTAGGTGTTTCCAGTATGCTGCTCCGTTAGACCTGATTGTGTGCGAACCTCCCAAGTTCCCCTTCGGGTGATATGATTTACAGCGCTAATAAAAAGGGCCACGGGGAGTGCAAACTTTTGATTTCTCTAGTGATTTCCGGGCTTGTTGCTAGTGTTATTCATCCTCTCTGATTTTTTTTTGCTTGAATTTCAAGACAAAAAGTACATTTATGTATTATTAATGTACTCAAAATGAAACTTAAAAATGGGCAGAGGAAGTTGGTGGTGTTTTAAGGCAAGGTTGGAGGCATGTAGGAGTATAGTCAGGTTGGCTCTTCCAGTCATTGACAGTGACATGAGGGGGGAGGAGGAGGGGGGACTTAGTTATGGGTATTGAGCTTTAGGACCCACTGTGTTCTGGCCAACAGTTCAAATCACTGCAGGCACCCAGATTGAAGGCGTGAATTTGTTGTGAAACGCTTTGCTATGCTTCCTTTTAGATTCAGAACTATGCAGATGTAGAGGTCTTTGTTAGTCAACTGGGGTACAAAAGCTTTTCTCCAGTGAGATAGTATCTTGAACACCTGGCACTTTCCTATTAGCTAAATTAATGAGTGTCTGACAAACTGTGCTTAAGGGAATACTGTCTTACATCTTATTGTTAAATATCAGGGCTCTTCCCGTACTTTCTCAGTGTACTCTTCTTCCTGCAGTGAGGATGTTCCATCATGCAATTTTCTTAAGTTGAACTGCTAGAAGTGAACTGAAAGCTTTTATTTAAATTAAGGAATCTTTAAATGAATCCTTTAATGAGGCAATCACCACCCACTTTATCTGGCTTATTTCATTTTTAAACAGTCTTTAAGGACTGCTTCACTTGACTCCTACCTATATTAAATTTTTTTAGTGTATTTCTTTACCTTGATGACCAGCAAACTAAGTGCATCTTAATAATTATTTGTCATTTTTATAAGCAGTACTTGTATAAATGCATTCATTTCTCTTTTTTCTTTTGCATAAGGTTGATTACATGGTTAAAAAAAACTGTATACTGTCAAAAAACCTATTGCTTGCACAAAGAATTAAGGAAATACTTAAATAGTTATACTAAAACAAGTAATGCTTCTCCACCCCACTCCAGATAGGCTCCAAAACAGCTAAAAGCTGATCAAAAAGAAGCCATGTAAAACTTGTGACTTATAAAAAAGGACAGAAATGCACTTAGAATATTTTATGTGAGAAAGGATGTGTGAACTGTTACTTTAACAAAACACTTGAGATAATCTGCGTAAAAAGGGGAAAGGCTTATTTGGGTTCATGGTTTCAGTCCTTGAGTTTTGTTGCCTTTGAGTCTGTGAAACCATTCACTTTTGTCCCAGTTACAAAATAAAGATTGGAGGGACTGTAATGCCACTATCTCCTCAGTTTTCATTTTCTTGGCCTTGTAACAAACTGCACCCCAAACAGGCAGGGCCTCACAGGTTTTACCTATTCCCAGTAAGGCCTATATCTGCTGGGTCTTCTTCTTAATATCCTAGGAGGTTATAGCCAAATGTGCCTATATTTGAGAAGAAAAAAAAAAGTTTGTTGGCTGGGTGCCAGTGGCCCATGCTTATAATTCTAGCTACTCAGAAGACTGAGTTGAGGATCACAGGTTGAAGCTAGCCCCAGCAGGAAAGTCAATGAGATTCTTACCTTCAATTAACTGCCAAAAAGCCAGAAGTAGAGCTGTGGCCCAAATGGTAGAGTGTCAGCTTTAAACACAAAAGCCCAGGAACAGCACATAGGCACTGAGTTCAAGCCCCAGCACTGACACACAAAAAATAGGTTGTTGGTAGCTGCATTCCAGGCTCACAAAAGTGTTCACAGATTTCTCTCCGTGGCTGCTGTGAAACCAGGACCCTCTGTTTATCAGGTCATAGAGGCCCACAGGATCGTGTTCCCTTTTTCACAGGGCCCTACCAAGAGTCTCATTGCTTCAAGCAAGGCCCAGATCATCTGCTAATAAAGGGATGTAGTCATGGCAGTGACTGCCTGTCACCATTGCCAGCTTCTTGAAAAGCTTGCTTATAGCAAGCACTATCCTGGTACAATAATGTTACTTCTTAGGAATTTTCTTAGAATTCTGCCTCCTGCAGTCACTTAAATTCATTAAACCTGGAATGAATGGAAGAGCCCTATTAAGTTCATTGCCACACATGGGAGGTGAACATGGGAAGATGTGCCCTTTAAACAAAGTATTTATTTAAAACCTTGGTATACTCTTTTTTGTAACCAGTCCTGGGGCTTGAACTCAGGGTCTGGGCACTGTCCCTGAGCTTCTGTTGCTCAAGACTTGTACTCTATGACTTGAGCCACAGTGCCACTTCCAGCTTTTTCTGTTATGTGGTACTGAGGAATTGAACCCAGGGCTTCATGCATGCTAGGCAAGCATTCTACCACTAAGTCACATTCCCAGTCCTTGGTACACATTTTGAGCCAGTAAGTCTATGACTGGCAATCTTTTAAGGGAACAAAGCCTTAGTCAAGGACTACAGTAGGGACATGTTTTATAGTGCCATTAGTAGGAATGCAAAAGTAGAAACTAAGAGATGCTCATCAAGCCCAGTATAAAGTGACTTGAAGGGATTTGCCAGAGATGGTTTTGTGTAAGGGAGATATATTGATGTGACCGTGTGATCATATGGGTATGGAGAAACTACAGAATGATACATACAGTAAAAGCTGTCCATGAGGAAGAAGGTGGATAGAGGGTACCAGCAAAAATCTGTTTCTTTTCCACAGGTCTGCTCCCTCCCACGGGTCTGCTATGTGTGCTATAGTCGTACTTGTAAATCTGTGTAAAGTTTTATATGCATGGATTAAAAATAATAAGAAATACTATGCTCTTAAATCTGGGTACTATAACCTGGGCATTAATTTTAAGCCAGGCACCAGTAGTTCATGCTACTCAGGAGGCAAGATCCTTGAGATCTTATGTCTGGTATATATGGTATATATATATAAATTATATAATAGTATGTGTAATATGTAATATTGATATATATGTTATATAAACATTAAATATAAACTTATATGGTTTATAATATATAATGCTAATATATTTATATAATACTATCTTATTCCTATGTATTATTTATACTATATATTACATATATAATTTCAAAGTTTTGTTTTGTGCCAGTCTTGGGGCCTGAATTCAGGGCTTGGGCACTGTCCCTGAGTTTTCTGCCCAAAGCTAGCACTTTGCCACTTGAGCCACACTCCACTTTAAGCTCTTTTGGTGGTTAATTAGAAATAAGAGTCTCAGGAACTTACCTCCTTCATAGCTGCAAACACAAACGAGCCATCATGCCAAGCTTAGAAATGTGTTGAAATGGGGTGTCATTAACTCGTTGCCCAGGCTGGCCTGGAACTGCTATCTTCTTGAGTAGCAAAGATTATAGTTATGAGCCACCATGCCTAGTTCATTGCCTACTCTTCAAAGCTGTTTATATATTCAGAGTTAAGTAGAAATAACGTTTATTCCAGTTACTATATTCAGAGTTCAGATTTTGGCAAATCTTTCACATTAGCAGTTTTTAAATCCTGAAGGAGACATTTAATTTTCAAATGCCTTTTCTTCTAGTATCTTTTTCAGAAGAGGAGAAATACCAGCTACGTAAATTTGTCAATAAATCTTACCTGCTGGACAAGAAAGCTCAGTGTCAGGTGTACTATGGTTTAATTGATATCCTGCTGGCATATTGTTATGAAATGCGTGTCACTGAAGGAGAGAGGAATGTAAGTGTCCATGTGTCTTGTGTGTCACTTTGTGCTACCTTGCCTGCTGTGCTGGGTAAACTGAGTCTGAGCCTCAGTGCTTTTATTGGAAGCAGATCCTGTGGGAACAACTTCGATAGGGCATGTCTCAGATAAAGGTGGGTGTGCATGCACGCCTGCCCTCACCAGCACTGAGGTAGAGAGGAGGCATTCCTGAGCTCATTTCTTTGAGGCTAAAAAGGAGGGCTATGTTGTGTGACCTTGACATTACATCAGTTCCCATGCTCATTTATACTTCTCCAAGTGGTCCATCAGCAGACACAAGGTATAGCATTTACAAAAAGGGATTTGGCATGTACCTTCAAGTGTCTCTCAATTCATAAAGAATGTGGACTTCTGAAAGATTTTTTTTTTTTGGGTCCGGTTGTGGGGCCTGAACTCTGGGCCTGGGCGCTATCCCTCAGCTCTTCAGCTCAAGGCTAGCGCTCTACCACTTGAGCCACAGCGCCACTTCTGGCTTTTTTCTTTGCTTATGTGGTGCTGAGGAATCGAACCCAGGGCCTCATGCATTGCAAAGCAAGCACTCTACCACTGAGCTACCTTCCCAGCCCAAGATTTTAAAAATTTGGATCGTATCTTTTTTCCTAGTTGGAAAAACTACCAGGAGGCTGAGGCAGGATTATGATCTGAGGCCAGCTGGGCTCTATAGTGTGACCCTCCCTCAAAAAAAATACAATAAAAATGAATAAATAAATAAGCCATATTATAAGTTACATCCTTTTGTAAACTAAATTATCTCTTAAGTGACCTTTTAAGAACAATATAGGCTTTATTATATCTCTTAAACCATGTTTGATTTAGTAAATGAAGAGACAAACTTCTTTCTCATCTGTGGATTTTATATTGATAAAACCATAAATCATATATTTTAAAAGGCTGTGGGTTTAAATGCTAGCACCACAGAAATGAATACATTAACTAAAAAGGCTCTTTCCATTAGTGTGGTTCTGCAACTATTTCTGTGTATAGAGTTTAGACCTGAGCATGTGATTTTCAGTTTTTGAATCACACAAATGACATGCTATCATAAAGGAGAATACACATGTGAAGAAAATAATTGAGGTTTCCTTAAATGTCAGTGATCAGAAATAGGTACCATGTGTGTATATATGTATACTTACAGATTGTATAATCTGCATTATACTTAATGCCTATGTTGTTGTTTAATCTACTTTTTGTACTCAGCATTACAGCACTGGAATCCTTTAGAGTTCTGTATGTCTGTTTTTTGTTGTCATGACTCTGAAAGTTGCTGTGTTAGCCCTTTGCAGGGGACAGGGGTATAGTACTAGGGCCTGAACTCAGAGGCTGCCGTGTACTAGTGCTTGGATTTTTTTACTCAAGGCTGGTACTCTGTCACTTGAGCCATACCTCCACCTCTGGCTTTTTGCTGGAGATGAGTCTCATGGGCTTTTCTGCATTGAACTATGATCCTTAGATCTTAGCCATTTGAGTAGCTAAGATTATAGGAGTAAGCCACCAGTACCCTGCATGCTGTGGGGACTCTTGTGGCTGCATATGACTCACAAATGAAGAAATTGAGTGTATATACACTATAACGTGTCTGAAAATATTTTTGTTTTCACTATAGTCAGCTTAAATTTTTTGACAAGTGCTTCATAATACTGATTCCTGATCATAGTTATCTTTGATCAACTTTCTCAGGGTTTATTCTTCTGTTTGAGAAAAATCATGAAGTCTTGCAGCCTTGAGAATTGTTCTGTAATACCTTTTTTCAGCTCCACAAACAGCCTGTTTTCAGCAAGCAAGTTAGTGGAAAAGATCACCATACATTCCTCTGTTTCAAGTCTCTGTTTACTTGCTTTTGTGTCCTGGGACTCAGTCTATTTTGTCATATATCAAGCCAAATACACCAACACCTCCCAAAATCTCTGAATAAAAAGATTCTTTTTCTGTACTGAGATACTTGGTTCTCCTGTGTTAGTCCTACTTATATACTAGTTGAAGCAAATGTACTTGTTTTATTTTTCAAATGACTTCTAAAGGTGATGATTGTCTTTTCTCCACAACAAAGGTCGAGTCTGCATGGAATGTCAGAAAGCTAAGTCCAACACTATGCTGGTTTGAGGTATGATTTTTACTTGTAATTATTCAGATTGTTGTTGTTTAGTTGTTTTTCTCTTGTCCTTACTCATTTTGTGCAACTCAAGCCATCCCTTGATGTTTTAGAGATACAAGATTTATTATAAAATTTCATTCTTATCTTTTCCATCAACTTGTGCTGGGGAAGCCAGGTAGGGGTTCTGGACATTGGCAGAAGAAACACTTTGGAGGGCCAGTGAAAACAGAGTGTATCAGGGTAGGTTGCAAACGTGCTGGTAAATTGGCAGGTGTTGGAAACTCAAAAGAGGGAAGCAACCCTAGGTGATAAAGGACCACCAGGGCTTGTGGTAACTGTTTTATACCTGTTACTTTACCCATTCCTCTTAATATATGAGGTGAGTTCCTCATAGCTTTAGTATCTGATCCTAGGTCCTATAATTTTCTGGTAATGCTGACACCTCTTTCCATATAGTAATAATTGTTTTGTGTCTGTTTTCTAGATACAATCTCACTAAAATATCAGAAAATGAGAGCTTTTAATTTACTGGATTTGAACAAACTGTTGTATACTGAAACAGTAATTGAAAGTAGGAACTATAATTGAAAGTAGAAACACTTCAAAAGTATCAACTTAAACAATTGATAATGGTATCACCAGTTAAGAGAGCTGGTATTATAAGGTTTTAAGCCCAAGGTTATTTCCTGGGTTACTCTGTTCTATGAAGAATGAGATGCATACAGGAACTGAAACAGTTCCTTTATCAGAGACTCCATCAGTTACTTGTGAGTGAATGGTCCAGGACTTACTGCCTCAGTGGGGTCTTGCTAAACATAGGGCATCTGAGTCTCCAGCCTGTGGAAGAGAGGCTTAGTCTGGAGCTAGGCCTAAGATAATTTGTACTCATGTAAGGGACATCTAAGGCTTCTTCTTCTGTCCTGGCTTCCTCTGGTTCTCTTGTGCCACCATAACATCCAGTAGAGAAGTTGGGTTTGTGATAGTGCACTATAATATGGGGGAATAGTTGTAATGGATAATTTTGTCATACAACTAAAAAAAGATACATGAAACTTGACCTGCTTATAATTTTTTTTGGGGGGGTCCAGTCGTGGGGCCTGAACTCTGGGCCTGGGCACTGTCCCTCAGCTCTTCAGCTCAAGGCTAGCGCTCTACCACTTGAGCCACAGTGCCACTTCTGGCTTTTTTCTTTTTGCTTATGTGGTGCTGAGGAATCGAACCCAGGGCCTCATGCATGCAGGGCAAGCGCTCTACCACTGAGCCACCTTCCCAGCCTGACCTGCTTATAATTTATCTTGAAATTTTTATTGTTCTGAGATGATTTGGAATTGCCAGATATAATAATACTTTTAAGTATTTAGATTTTGCTAGAATTTTAAAAACATTTATAATTCCTTTTAGATATAAAATATTCTTGTCAAATACTCAGTATATATAATTAGATCTCTCATAATACATTATGGCTTAAAATAATGTAAATTATCTTGCTCCCTTAATTTAAATTTTGTATTTTAAGTTTCACATATGATTTCCATTTTTATATGTTGCTGATCAAAAAGCAATTAAAAGATAATTTTGTGAATTTTGAATTGCTAATGGTATCTGTTTGATACCTCTCAAGATAAAACATCCCCCTTCACAGAAATCAGTAAGGTAGTGTTTCATCTTGGATAGATTTAAACAAAAACTCAAGTAAATATCATGTGTCACTCATATCAAAAGCAAAAATGAAAAGTAGAAAAAGAGGAGCAGGGAGATGAGACACACTTCACTAATGAGTCTGGACCATCTTGGATGGCCCTTAGGGACAAAATATGAAGGAAGTATGCATCCTTTAGAGATACCCTTTATAAGTCTGCATTCCATTAATGTCTTGTGTTTTTTATTCTTATTTGTCTTTTTTGTATGTATGTGGTTACTTGGAGATAAGAGTCTCATGGACTTTCCTGCCCAGACCAGCTTTGAGCTTTGATCCTCATATCTCAGCCTCCTGAATAGCTAGGATTACAGTCATTAGCCACTAGCGCCTGACTCTCATTTGTAATTCCTACTGCTTTAGTGAGTTTTAAGGCGCTTTTGTGACATGTTGATATAGATAGCAACATTATGAAGACCAATGAGCTAGATTATTAAGATGTACGGAGACTCCCTACCTGGATTCCTATTTCTCTTCTACTTTTAATAATCCAAGTTCATCGGTGTTCATTGAGGATAATTTCCTGTTGCATTTGTGTGCTTCTGTTTGTATAACATATAAGAATACCACTTCCTGCTATAACTCTTCCCAGACTTGGATGAATGTTCACGAGATCCTGGTGTCTTTTGCAAGAAGAGTGCTATGTTACCCGCTTTACCGCCACTTCAAGCTGGTGAGAAAGGCCTGCACGGACACCACAAAGATACTGCAGCTAGGTAAGATCATGTGCTTGCAAATTTGTCAGCCAGAAAGTTGGAAACTTTTAATATGGTAAGATATAATTATGAATTTTGCTCCCCACCCCCATTTTTGTAAGTAATGAAGAGAATCAAATCCAACCCAGGTATAATCCAACCCAGGTATGGGAAGTAATAAATGCAAGGGACTAGTCCCTGTACTAGTACAGATGTGGAACCACATGGTCCTTTTCTGAGAAGAGTGAGAGGCCAGTGGAGAAGGCACATGGTATTCCAGGTTCCTTTGTACTGCAGACAGTTACATTGTTCAGTGCAGGTGTGGGTTTAAAATAAGAGAGATAACTACCTTGCTCTGGTGAGTTATAGCTTTGTCAGGAAGAAGACAGTAAATAAGTGACTGCAGTGGAGAGCAAGAAGTGTTCTGGTGAGGGGATGGCATGGGCCATTCAGGAGGGTGCTTGTCACCGAGATGACACTTGTCACTCAGGATGACAACAAAAAGCACACTTCCTCTGAGGTCTCAAGATTGCTGCTCAGCTCAGCCGAGAAGACAAATACTTGCCAGCATGAAGGATGTGGAAACTTCCAGCTCTAAAACAGATCTTAAAGTGCCATAACCATGTCATTAGACTAAACATATCATTTCCAAGATGAAACCGTCAAAGGGACATATCCATTGTGGGCATTAGTTCTGGATATCCGTTTAAAAGTCCTGTCTGGTACTTTGTGGTCATTCTCCTTGTCAGAAAGGCAAAGAAGGGATGATCCTGCCTCTGTATCTAGGAGAGTTGTTAGCCTGACAGGGAGAATGCCATCATAATGGTTTGTCCCCCACCTCAAGGGACTCCTAGAGTCTCCTCTGGAGGCAAGGGAGTTGAGTTTGAAGGAGATTCTTTTAAAGTAGTCGATTTTTTTTAAAGAATTGTTAAATGAAAGATATCTTTATATTCATCTAGTTGGCTTAGACATGCACTATTTTATTTTGAAGGATCGCTGTTGTGATAAAGAGCCACTCAGTTTGAGATCTGTCTTCTGTAACCTAAATGTGGGAAACTACTTGTGTTACTGTTGTTTCTCCTTGCCTTCCAAGGTTTTTTGTTGTTGTTTTTAGCAAAAATTACCTTGAAAAATCAATTCACTCTAAGTAACTCGTTGCTGAGCTTGAACTACATGCACATCACAATTAACTTGCTATTTTTAAGTCATTGCTAGATTGTGTGGGTGTTGTGGATTTCAGCAGTGGGTCGGCAGGTTTCAGTTCTCCCATTGCATCAAGGCCTCCAGAGGGAAGACTGTAGCTTACCCCTTCCTGTTGTGTGTGTGTGTGTGTGTGTGTGTGTGTCTCTGTGTGTGTCTCTCTCTCTCTGTGTCTGTGTGTCTGTGTGTGTGTGTGTCTGTCTGTCTGTCTACATACCTGCCTGCCTGCCTGCACACACATACTTCTCTCATCTGAATTCATGCTTGTTATTTTTTATTCTGCAAAGTTACTGGCTCTCTAGATTTTTGTTTGATTGCCTTGACTCCTACTCTTTATCATTTATTCCAACAGTTTTAGCAGATTAGAATTGAAATTGAGACTTAGCTTTCATCAGTATGTCTCTGACTGTAAATAGTCTTAGCTACATTATAGTAGGAACTGAAAACTTGAAGTACCGCACTGCAGGCGTCTACTAAACATGAATCTGAGCCTGCTTGGGCTGTTCACCCTGGGTTTGGTTTGTGGTTGTTAGTGCTGGAGCAGTGCACTGGGCTGTCTAGAATTCATGCTGTCTGCTGTGAGATTAGCTCTGAGTGAGGCTTGACATCTGTATTTGTACAGGTGGCTAGCACAGGCATGCCCTGACTGTCACCAAAGAATCTCGTTTGTTGGGACACTCCATAATTTAAGTGGAAGTAGCGTTTAGTGTTTCCTAGAATGAATTTGTGCCTACTTGCAATTTAAAATGCAGTCACAACATTCACCATTTTTACTATAAAGGTCAATCTAGTGCTTCCATGGTTGAAAGTAATGAATAACTCTTTTTCCCCAAAGAAGTATTGATCTTAAGTGGAATGAGCTTCCAGAACCAGCAGAAGAATGCTTCAGAATCTACACAGCAGTTCCTTATGGCTGATGGACTAAGAGGGGCCTATTCAAAGAACCATGAGTTTGCTTTTCAGACTTCTCATGGCGGTTACCAAGAGCCTTTGCTAGGCTTTGGTCCTGTCGGTTTTGTTTATCAACTCTTGTTCCCTTCCTGTTGCTGAATATTGAATCTAAACTTCATGGAAGACAGAACCCTGGCTTTGCCCTGTTATGTACTGTTTTAGTGCTTAACAAAGGCTCTTGGCCATGAGTTAATGCATCTTCTCTTGGAGTACATTACCCTCCCTTCCCCCTTTTATCCTCTGGTCTGACTCTTCTGCCTCCTCCTTGTTCCATTTCTCTCTCTCTCTCTCTCTCTCTCTCTCTCTCTCTCTCTCTCTCGCTCGCTCACTCGCTCTCTCTCTCTCTTGTAGGGGATGGATAGGTAATTGTACCTTAGCTGCTGTTAGCCAATTGGAAATAAAAGTAGGATTAAAAAAGAGCAGTTTTTCTCTTTTGGTGGTTCTGGAATTTGAACTCAGGTCCTTGTACTTCCTAAGCAGATGCTCTACTACTTTTGCCTTGGTTATTTTTTCAGATAGGGTCTAATGCTTTTTGCCTATGACAGCCTGAAACATTGGTTCTCTACCTACTTCTGCGTTGTAACAGGATTACAGATGTTCACCAACATGTCTAGTTTATTCTTTGAGATATAATCTTGCTAACATTTCCCTCAAACCTTTTTTTTTATCTCTGTCTCCTAAGTATCTGAGAACATAGTTTTTCTGATGTATCTTTAGAAGTTTTATTCTACCTAGTCATAACAAGTCCCATAGTTTAATAGTTGGTTATACATTATACGGTTTACTGAGTGTTAGTATACTAATATCTGCATCTTATTTTGTGAGATTCCTCACTGTACTTCTGTTGGAAGGACTGGAGGTGATGGGGTGAGAGGGAAACAACAACCTCATTTTTCTCCCAGTTTCCCTTTTGAGCTCATTCTATATGCCCCCTCCCCCACTTTGAAACAAATATATATATTTCTCCTATAACGTATACGCTGTAGCTTTCCTGTCACTTCATGTCATGAGTTTTCTCATCAATTCTAGTTAGGAGTCCAGTTTCAGTACTTAAAGTGTTCTCTTGCTGTGAAAGTAACCTTGAGCCTCTCAGCTTAGGGAGCCAGCAAGGATGAGGAGTCCTTTTGCAGGCAGGTGTCTCTTGACAGGCTTAATGGGGGGATTGCGTCTCTAATGAAGGTCACTGTGCTGACCTTTGGCTGTTGTAGGAAGCAGCCCCTCCCCTGAGCCACCACTGCCTGTTCTTTCCTGCTTCCTGAGGATGTCAGATACCAGTTTTTGTGCCTTACAGAGGAAGTAGGTTGAACTGTTTTAGAGCCTCTCCCATGTAGGAGATCTCTACCCATGTAGATATTTGGCAACTATTCTGCCCTTGGTGAGCCTTGCTGGAGATGACCAGCAAGCTTCTGGGTTGGTCTACTAGTACTGCAATATAACTACAGTTGCCTTTGATACTTCCCCATCTTTTTTTTCTTGTATTGAAATCCCCAAAGCTAAGAATTGCCATCTCTATTTTTGCAGAGAGGAGGCAGGCTAGTATGTATAAGGAAGTCTCTGGGTTCCATCCCTAGTACCTCCCCCCCCAAAAAAAAAGGAAAGAATATGCATGGCTTTATTTATCTGTGTTGTTTTTAATGCTATTAGAGCTGTACCTTTCTCTAAATACTTGAAGTCTAATGACTAGTAGATGGATGGCAGGAGAAACAGCCTTCAGGGGTCTAGTTACTGTCACCAGTTAAAAGCCAGTTTTACTTCAGATCATTAACAGCCCTTACATACCAGTCATTAACTCGCTCAATAACAATCAACTTTTCTGAAATTACTGCTTTATTAACCTCTCCCGTAGACAGAGCATGATCACACCATGAGAGGGAGGAGCACAAAGAGGGAGGGTTTTTTGTTGTTGTTAAGAAAAATGGGTGTTACAGTTAAAGCATGTATGCCGTGTATGACATGAACTCCAATTTCTGATGAAACTTTAAAGGTGAATTTCTTTCTCTAACTAAATTCATTCCCTGCTCTCCTGGGCCTTCTGGTTCTGTAGTGAGAGTCATGTTGACTGCTCTCTGAAGCCAGCCAGGGCCTGAAGGAGGAGGGGGAAGCCAACACCTGGAAGCCTTAAAGAAGCTGGTCCCTTCTTCTTCCCACTATTTCTTATTCTTGTCAAGCACAGAGGGGTTGTCATGGCACACCATTACCTCCGGTACCATGCCTCATTCTTCCCCACAAGGTGCCCGGGGAGTGTGGATGGGGGGAGTGGACAAGAAAGAATCAACCACATAGGCCCAGCGAATGATGTGCTCTGGTAGCTGATACTTAAAGAATATGCAGGAATAAGAAAAAAAAAAGATGTGGAGGAAGGAAAATCCCTAAGAAAGTAACAGTAAAAAACTCACAGAGAGGAGCCAGTGGCTCATGCCTGTACTTCTAGCTACCCAGGAAGCTGAAATCTAGAGGGTCATAGTTTGAAGCCAGTCCAGGCAGAAAAGTCTGCAAGACTTAATCTCCAAAATAACCAGCAAAAAGCTGGGCTGGAGACCGGGCTTAAGTGGTAGAACACCAGCCAGCCACCAAGGCAAGCAAGCTGGAAGCCCCAAGTTCAAACTCTAGAACCAGGAAAAAAAAAATCAGAGAGAAAAAAATGAGAGTTCTGTATCCAAGAAGTAGCAAATCCTCTCATTGTCTGGGCCTGGGGTGTGAAGACTTGGTAGACTTGGTTGTTGAGGTATGGCCTTGCTGAAGAGATGGGGTCTTACTCAGGGAGAAGCCACCAATCTAGTACTGGACATGTGACGTGTTTCTGCAACCTAGTTCATCTGTGGCAAGGGTTAGGATAGTGGCACTGAAGGAGTGAAGTGTGGGTGGCATGG